CGCATCGCATCCCTTTTAAATCGGACATGACACCAGAAAAGAAGAGAAAACAAAAAAAAATGTCTACCCACCCATTGACGCTAGAGGCGCGCGAGGGCCACTCCTCGCCGAGGGCGGCCGCTGGCAGGCCAGCAGCCGCCCCTCCTACACCTTGCAGCGTAGGTGGCTAAGGCGGGCAGCTCGTCGCACAGCGCACGCGCAAAAGGTGCGAATGAGAATCATCAGCGTCGCGCTTAGCACAGGCAACCGCCGATCTGCAACCCCTCCTCAGCATGCCAAGCAAATTCGCCACGCAAGAGCAAAATAATGCATGCCTTGAATCCGCTACCAGGCGCCTGTCCCCCGGCAACACATGGACGGGCGCCTGGGGCCCGCAGCCAGGCGCCCGTCGCCAGGCCTCGCGCGTCGCATTCCACGATCCCATCAGGGGTCAGGCTCAGAAAAGCGCGCGTTCCGCATTGCGGTGCTGCATATCATCAAATGCCTGATGTACTGGCGCGACCTGCAACGAGCACTGACGATCAGCGTCCGACTGCAGTCATGGCACGCGCATCATACCACTGAACACAACGTACCCGGCCTATTCCAATCATATGTCGAATCCAACAGGCATCACCAAGTAGGGCACACTCCATAGGCTACTTCAGGCCCCTTACTCGAGAAAGACTCTAAACACACACACGGCATCGGTGGCGAGAGCTCAGTATGCGAAGTCCACCTCTTTCTAATAGGTGTTTGAATTCTACGGTGGACAAGGCGGCCCCGATCTTGAACTCGCGCAGCGCGACAGACGTCGGGCACCAATACACCGCGGCATGCGCCGCAGCCAACGCTTCCGCTGAATAGCTCGAACGCGCCTGAAGTTGATGCGACTTACAGCGCGCGCCCACGGCGGGCAGCAGGCCGCGTCGAAGCAGGCTTGCCCCATGGATGCCGCGCCATATCCCCTCGTCGTCGGCATCGCCGGTCAAACGTCAGCACCCAGTGTCGCGGTGGATATATGCCTCGTCCGTCGGCGCAACGGCTAGGTACTAGTTTCTCAAGACCAAATAGCAATCCCCTGGAAATCGCGTTCGACCTCCGAACTTGACGGGCCCTTGACTCTTGGGCCCGTTGGAGCTAGACGATATAAACCATCCACCATTGCAATACAATCCGAGTGCAAGCAAATGCCCCCCGCAAGCTGATAAACACGTCTGTCACCGTCGTTGAAACCTTTCAGGCAGGCGCAGCTCCGATGAGCTCGCGGCGCCGGAGTGGTCGCAGTTGCTTGACGCGCTCGCCCCGGCCGACGGTTACGTCACCGCTCGCAAGTTTTGAGCGAGGCACGGGTTTGGATGTGACCAGGCTCGGGCTTCCTTCAAATTCCCAACGCCTTGACGCCCGAATCCACGCGCCACTTGCCCCGTGCTTGAAGGAGACTGCCCGCTGGGCATCTACGGTGCCCGCGGCAGACTTCGAGCACTGGAGACAGCACATTGACTCGTCAAAGTTCACGGGGCCCCGGGGGGAACGCGAAGCACGCGAGCCTGGCCTTCAGCTGCTGCAAGCTCTTCAAAGGGGTGGCTCTCCATGAAGGCTTTATTTTCCTCTAGAGACGCAGGTCTCCATGTCTTTTTGCACGCTGGCGCGCTAGCTGAAAATTCCCAGCTGGCCAGCGGTCTCGGCGCCAGAGGCCTCGACGTCCACGAAGCCACCCAGCACGAGTCTGAAACGAATCGCTCGCCCCATCTCGCAGCCTTCGTTATTCGCGAACCTAAACTTTTACACAAAGCGAGATGTCGTGAACTTTGTAGCTTCTGCTAGCTAGCGCACGCGAGAACAATTGCTATCGCACCAGATTCAAAGATCTGAATTCTTGGCTTTCGACACCTGCAGACGAGTCGCGTGAATTTCGGCCGCCGTCGACTAGTCACCCCACTTTTACGACTACTGCACGTTTGGACGCTGCCGTAACATACACACAAGTAGTGGCAATAGCCGCATGGTCAAACAGGTGACGTCGCCGTTATGAAAGCACGGCTATTGCGATGTCTGATGTAGGCAAAGTTCCGCAGATGTCCCCTGGGACTCTGCATCTGACACATAGCAGGTCGTCGTGCTCACATAGATGCCTTGGCGTAGCGCACGAGCCTGGATCGTAGTCTGGCTTGTTCCCAGGCCAGGGAAGCAAGCTGCCGCGCTCGCCGCACATCGCAGAGACCAGCACACATTCAAATGGCATCATCCGCGTCAGCGCATCATAAAGAGCAGGGCCGAAATGTCTTGTAAAGAATTCTTCATACTGCCACTCATTATCCTTCTTGAGCTCTTTGTACCACTCCATCGTCATATGTACATCCAGTTCTCTTCCGTGTCCTCATGTATCGTTGGGAGTCGGCCCCTTTCCGGTTCAACCGGTGGCTCGTCGGCAGCATGTGTTCGAGGTCGTTCTCCTTGGTTGATGCCCGAAGTGCCTTATGCATCTTCGTGAGATGTGGCCAGGTCCTCATCGAAGCCAGCCAGATTCTTGTGAATATTAAGACACTGTATGATCCTACATCGAACACCGCCCGTGACGTCCCCAATTATCATGGCGGTGCCGCTTACTTCATAAAAGTGCAATCCAAGGTTCACATCACTATCGTATTGCATGAGTGTGCTGCTGTCTGCAAGCCAGAGGTGCGGCAGCTTGTGCACGCTTTTTCGCGAGACGCACTGCAACTACATTCACTATACGAATGAGACAATGTTGTGCGAGATGAACTTTAGGGCGCATGCTGCTGCCCATCGTCATACGAAGAGTTTCCTCGCGAGTCAGGGGCACACCCGAACGCGATAGCAGGTTGCTCTGTCGCAAGACCAGCAAGGAAGGTAACAATTTCACGCATGGCAGCAATATTAGGCCCAAGTTCACATACTATAAAAGCTTCGACAACAAAAACAGCGTGTGGCGGACATACGTTGCGACGTACTGGAATTGTCCACCCCATGTTCCCAAGTCGTCCCTGTTCGCTGTAAAGTCGATGACAGTCAAGTAGATACCCTCTGTTTGCTGGATGTCTTCAGAGCTCGGTCGGCTTTCGCCACTGCAGTTGCCTGCGTTCTGGCTTCAATGCTTACCCGGTGTACCTGCTGTTCCCTGCTGTGGTCGGACGCTGCCGTCGGCGATTCAGGATCAGGTAGGTCCAGGTGAGACAGGCATGCCAGTTGACGCCCAACTAGTGCATTATAAGGTGATACCCCATCGAAGCATGTAAAAGTGTTGCCAGCGAGTATGGTTTTGGCAAAAACTCTGTTGAATATAATTGATATGCCCTGTTATTCTAGTCTTCTCTCATAGTGTGCATCGTGCCGCGCAAGATGCCGTTCCTAGCCTCGAGGGTGGTCGCATGTTGACCTGGAGCTCGTACCCGAAGCTCGCCGCCTCTGTCCTTAAGATGGTGTGCAAAATAAAACCGGGATGAGTTGCCCTGCACTCCACCTCGTGCAGCGGTAACAAATATGAAAGATGATACGTTTCTTATAGCACATCAGATCACACCCCGACCCCCATGGAAGTGGCCTGGCAGGCTCACAGATGACATGGCGGAGTTCCCAGCCCAGGCTCCTGGGCGCGATACCATATGAGGTATAGTTTCCGCAGCTCACGTTTGACAACTGTTGGGTCATGGTTCCTAAAGTTATATGGGCTCAGTTTGACATCAAATCTAGTCCAGTCTCCAACTATTGGTGGTCTAGCAGGTGCACTCCGACGTCTTGGATCCTCTGGTGATGGCGCGACGCCCTGAGCACTGCCGCGTCGGTCCATGGCTTGTTCGTTTCGTAATGAATATGGCGCGTCTCCACGCATGCGTACAGCATTGTCGCTTAAGTCCGACCGTGCGGCTGGTCGTGGTGCACGTGATTGGCTGTCTGGTTGGCCCGATGCTGCTGGTGGTGACACCACCTGCTGCTAGCACTCTGCTGTGCAGGTGTTGGTGCGGGATGCGCGCGCTTGCCTAAGGTGAACCAGCGTACTGGCACATTCCGTCCATGATTTTTCTTATGGTTCGGGCATTCCCAATAGATTACGGATTTGTCGTACCAGCGGGAGGTCTGAGGATCGCGCGAGTGCTCGGGGCTCACCATGACGACAGTATTCGCACAAACTGGGCATCCTGGTCCCCCTGGAAGCAGCGCAGCTTGGTAAACAAGCACTGCGGGAAAAGACGGGGTGTATCTCGTGACGCAGCTGGCTGGCCATGAGCGAGAACATACGGGCGCACGGCCACGCACGCTCAATATCTCAGCTGCCAGGCCAATCACGCCCGCGCGATTGTTTCGACCCCCTCACGGCAACTTTCGCGGACGGTGGCGCGGGTGCCCGCCGCTGCACACACACACACACACACACACACACCACTGCCGAAACGCGCGGTCCTTCATTGTCGCACGGGGGCGGACGCCCCGTCCATGCTCACCAGCACTACCCACGAAGTATTGCCATCAACTGCACTCTCTACGCCAGCTGAAAAAATCATCAGCCCTCGTCACCATCACTCTCTGCACTCCCTCAAGGAGCGAACACGAGAGGTGTCACGTGTGACGGCTTCTCGGCGGCACTCGACGGGTTGCCACGCAGAGTTTTTTGCTGGAGCACCTGAATGGAGAAAGAGACGGGGAGGGAGGGAGGGACGGAGGGGCTCGGCTGAGAACGGCTGCAAAGGCTCCCCTCGCGAACCTCCCCCCCCGTGCAAGATAGGTCAGCGCCGCATCGGCAGATCGCATCGCACCGGAGAAGGTGCGTCGGATCGGGGTGCACTGGCTCGGAGTCCAAAGCGAATCGTACCTGCTGCGCCAGGATGCACAACAGCGCCACGCAGGCACCGGTCGGCATCGGACCGTGGAAATACCAAAACCAGACCAAAATCCAACCGGATATCGAGCCCGGCGAACTCGACACCGAACCAGACCGATCGGATCGAGATCGGCCCTGTCGGGTCTTCGCTGAGACGTGGCGCACGTCCGTGCCTGCGCTCCTGCTCCCGGACCATGCGCAGGCGGTCCACCTCCGCGGCCAGCTGCAGGGACGACGCCTGCCCTCCTATCGAGACCTCGTGCACTGCGTCCTCGGCGGGAAGGGGAGAAGATGCGAGAGGCAGGACGGCGACGAAGAGAAGCGGCAGGAGAAGGGAACGAGGGCCTGGAGGAGCAACGACGAAGAGAAACGGCAGGAGAAGGGAAACGAGGGCCTGGAGGAGCAGCGACGAGGCACGGCAGGGGAGGAGAGGCCGACGAAGGACAGGAACGCCAGGGAACGGAGGCAGAGGGGGAAAATAAAAGAAGTATGGTGGGTGGCGGGGGGGGGAACGGGGCATATGACTATCTTACCATGCCCGGGTGCCCGGGCCCGAGCGCCCAGGTGCACGAATGCCCGGGTGCCCCCGGTGCCCCAGTGCCCGGGTGCCCGGGCACGCGGCCAAAAGCCGCGGTGCCCGACGGGAGGAGTGCCCCAAGCCTTGTGCCGGGCAGGCTGCCCGGTTGCCCAGGTGCCCGGGTGCCCGGGTGCCCGGGTGCCCGGGTGCCGGGGTGCGCGGGTGCCGTGATGCAGGGGCGCGCGAGCATTGCTTGAAGGCCCTGAATAAGCCCTGCGTAGAATTACGTCGTATGTGACAGAATATTCAGATGTTACGCATCAATTCTGACATGCGGTAACTGAACCATCCACGTATCATTGTTCGATGTCCAACGCTTGTTTTAGGCGCATCTGTAATTCATGCTAACATCGATGATTACAATATTGCGGGTGATGTTTGGAAGCTTCAAGCGCAGATGTCCTAGCTGTCCCCACGCACGATTGTGAGCTCCTGCACTGCATGCAGGGATGTCGAACTTAAGTTGCGTGGGGTAGTTGCTCATGATGCTGATTTCTGTACAACAGTGTGGTTCAAAAAAAGAATGCGCGCACTGCTGTTTAGCGTACATAGCACAACATAAAATTCAATGCCCCGCATGACGTTGCAGAGCGTGTGAGAAAGTTGATCGATGCATGCAGGCCCCGCATGACCGCGATAGAGGAGGCATTCGACAGAGAAAACGATGCTTGAGGAGGCAAAGATCATTCTCAGACGAAACGGTGTGTTGAACAAGGAAGAGGTGCGTTACATATATATATATATATATACACACACACACATATACACGGATAACAAATACGAGGATGGCATTGTGTCGTCACACACGACAGAGCTGATCAGCAAAATGTTCAACAACGGCATCAGGCACGAGAACACTGCGATGCCGACGTGTGCCGAATACCCTCCGCCGCACACTGCAGCGTTCGCTATGATCAAAGCATTCAACAACAAAATAATGACGGACTCGGCAGAACACCAGCCCGATTTACGAGGGGCTTCGATGCATCTGAGGGGCTTCGATGCATCTGACATCCGTCGCCAATCCCAGATAGGTTTGAGACGACATCGCAAGATGGTAGTTTTTCGCGGCTCGAAGAAGTGCAACCCATCTACGCTGGTGCGGTCAAAGAAAGCATCGCGTGGGTGTCTTCAGGTGGCAGTTCATGGAAGCGCCCCCATGATTCCGCCCATAGCCCAAGATGCTGAGAACGCAGGCCAAGCTGCGGCCAATCCTCAAGATTGCGGCATCCGCAAAGAAGACGCAGGCAGGTGCCCCGAAGAAGCAAATTCATTGGGGCAGCGCGCCGCGCGGGGCGAAGAGGGGGTCTGGGCACACATGCAAGCACAAGATACCAGAGATCTGCACATACCTTCAAGAGCTGAGCGGTAGCATCGCCAACTTATGGGCCCTGTGCGAGTTGAGGGATTTCTGTCGACTCTGGAACGCTGCGAAGGGAAATGTTGCAGCGGCCCTAGCCCATGCCACGATTGGCGGCAAAGACCTTGCTGCGCCGATCTTCCGACCCGCCTGCATGAAGACGACGAGTTCAAAGGGGGGAGGGCAAACCTGGCTGCAGCCACGCGACACTTCGACGCTCTACACGAGGAGATCCGCAACCGCAACGCAGGGAGAAGGGGCGTTGAAAGCGCGAGAGCTCGCACGCGCAATTGGCCTCAACGGCGGCACCGCCGCGAGGAGCGCCGGCCTCGCCGATGTCAGAGCGGCGCGCTCCGTCCACAACGAGCCCAGCGAGTCCCGAGGCAGCACCTGCGCCTGCATCAGGAACATCGGCTACGGCTGTTGGAGGGACACGCGCACGTCACTAGCAACGCGACCCCATGCCAATAGGCGCAACGGCTGCAGAACTCCGCCGCGGCCGCGGAGCAGTCGGACGAGGAGCCCGCTGCCACGATGAAGAAATTAAACAAGACAGGCGGCACGGATGTGATTTACACGACCGCAAGCATAGGTCCAGGCAAAGTTAAGATCAAACATGGCATAGAGGAGTGCCTCATACGACTCCTTGCAAGGCACGTTTGCAGTGTACAGCGTCAAGAAAGACACCATGAACGGCTCGAGCGCTGGCAAGCCGACCAAGCTCATGGACACGCACAGAGCGCCGAAGAGATTAAGATCAAGCTGGCGCTAAACGAGTTGTTCAACAAACACGCTGGCTCCCTAAAGCACAGCAAAGCCGTAGTTAGCCCCATAAGATATCGGACATTGCAGGCCCAGAAACAGTTCCATGTAAAAATGAACTTACCCTCGTCACGATCACGTCTTCGACCATGCTGAAAAAGCCAACGGACGACGCGTCAGGTGGCCACGTGTGCCTGAAGACCTACACAGGCCTATTCCTGAGAAAGATGTACAAGGTGGCGCTATCCCACGTGGTCAAGCTCAACAAAGAGGACGCCAGCAGCACTGCCATCGGCGGTCTTCTATACACATCTATATATAATATATAATATATACACATATATATATATATATATATATATATATATATACCACACACAGAAAGGAGCCTCTGCCGTGGCGCCGTTCTGGCTGGCTACTGAGGGCGACAAGCCGAACGCGGTCCTGAAACACGTAGCGACCCAGATGGACGCAAAAATCCCAGTGCTGGTCAACAGCAAGGCTCTCGTCGTTGATGGCCAGCTGCGCGTGTCCCCCGATACGATGGCTGATCTGGCGGGCACGCCAGCGCCCACCAAGGCGCGCGCCGAGCCCAAGAGGAAAGTTGCGAGGAAGGGCTGATGCATCGCGCGCAGACTGCACGTGCTGCCGCGGTCAGCCCCGGCGCCATAGCGTAGGCGCAGCGGCTGATATGAACCCTCATCACTTTGATATTGAGGCTATCTTGGAGTCAGAAGCATTGTCGCATCGAACATGCAATCACCGCTGCTGATGCGGCACCGTAGCGTTCAGCGTTGTTTTCCGCGACATCATCGCAGCATGTCGCAGCCTTTTCGGCCCGATCAATAACGGCGCACCTCGCCTTGCGAACACGCCATTCCCAAGCATTGGGTCGGTCATGTCAGCGCTGGTTATCAACAAGCTGGTCATCGACGACGAAGGCATCAAACAGGGTGGGTACCGCGGGAATTCGTACCCAGACCTGAAGATCAGTTCATGGAGATCTCCAAGGGCGACAAAAACCAGACGTTCTTAGTCCGGCACCCCTTACAGCACGGGCAGACAGTGTTTGTGGACAATCCCTCCTCGAAGAACTGAAGAGGATGCGCAACAACGCAGTGAACCCGTGCATATGGGAGCATTTGAAGCATGAAGATGCACTTCTTCAGGGCTCCCAGAAGGACAAGATAATCAATTAGCGTAGAAAAATATCGACTAAACACACCGAAGTCTGCAAAGATGGAGCGCGATGGCATCGCAATGAAGTGCTCCCTCACTACATAGAGGGTGCGCACAGTGTCCACGGAGTGCACCTCAGACGCGATAGAGCACATGCGTTACGCCATAAGGCAAGCGGCATTCGAGGGCCGCCTCACGCGTGAAGCGGCCACATTCTATCAATCGCGCAACGGGGGCTCGATGCGACAAGCGTCACAAAACAGCGTGCGCCATGGCGAAGGCAGACACAACCGCCAGCGAGAAGCGCACCTCATTTACCAGGGCGTCCGTGAACATCTTGAAAATGCAAAACCACGGGTGGGTCTTTGCAACAATCAAAACAATGTAGGCGACGACGAATACGATGAAAGGGCATCGCCCAAGAAGGTGGCGGCAGTCGGCGAAATGGAGTACGGCGCCGACGAGGACGACGACATCGATGAAACGGCGCTTGATGCGGGCGATGCGGGCCCTGATGACGCGCCGTCGGCAGAGCACCCGCACGCCGACTCGGCGCACGGCAAGGCTGCTTCACACGGCGCAGCGCGCGCCGGCACTGCCGTGCGTCATCGGCGCTGGCCTGCGCCCTGCATCAGCTGCGGTTCGGGGAATGCACACGCGCACGCACACGCACTTTGTTGCATCGGCGGCTGGGCAGAGGGCGACTGCTCCAGCGATCTGGCACCAGGGGGCGCACGGCGTGCAAATTCAGGCCGCGATGCACGAGGGAAGAGGAGGAGGCCCCAGCGCGACGGGAAAGGGGGAAGCCGGGCCCACTCAGGCAAGTCACCGGCTGCACACGCACACACACACGCACCCATATATGTGGCGCGTGCGCTGGGCGCACCTGTCGGTTGCCGCTCTTGCTCGAGCACCCGCCCTCGCAGGGTCGGGTTTGCACGGCGGCGCCAGAGCAGCGGCTCACATGTCGCGCAGCCCGCGCCGACCCGCGGCGGCAGCCGCCGAGGCAGCTGCTGCAGCGCCGCGGCGCAACGAGCTCCAGAGCGAGGCCGAGCACGTAGAGATGCAGCTGCCCACGCTGCCCTGCAGGAGCAGCTGACCGCGCAGCAGAAGCAGCTGATCGCGCAGCAGACGCGCGCCCTGCTGGGGCAGCTGACCGCGCTGCACGCAGCTGGTCGCGCAGCAGCAACAGCAGCAGCGGCAGCCAATCGCGCAGCAGGCGCAGCTGATCGCGCAGCAGAAGCTGCAGACGCAGCTGGCGGCGCAGCAGGAGCAGGCGCGGGCGCCCGCCGCGCGCGCGCGTGCCCCTGCGGCGGCACTAGAGCACAGGCGCGCCGCGGGGGAAGCTATACCGTTCCACGTCGTGGCGGGGTACGTGCCGCCGCAGTCTCGCAGCACGTCCGTCAGATCAGTTGTGCACAAGCTTGCACCCTCCGAGGTAGCCGAAGCAATCCTCCATCGTCAGCGGGAAACCGTCGAATGATGACCCTGAGGTGATTAGGGTGTGCTCAGTTTTACCTAGATACATAAATATACCATGTGAAAATGATTGAATTATATATGAGATGGCTGTGCGTGCATTACAGGTCAACGTCGTCCCGCCCTCATTCTCCCCGCCTGAGCTAGCGAGGATATAGGACCATGCCAAGCTGATTCAACAAGGGAGTGACATGCGTTTGAGGGCGCGCGATCTAGGCAGTGCCACAGGACTGACTTCAGGAGGTGGCACGTTTCATGATAGTGAGACTCCCTCGCGCAACAGACGGACACGAGTCGCAATACTCATACGAATGGATCGCACATGCGTGGGATACATACACTACGAGTCATAGATGCGTCAACATATACATACTAAAATTCACGCGCGACATATCGCTCACGTTCGCACTGCACGTCGCCCAAGTCGGTTTCTTGCAAAACAAAAGTTCATGGGGCGAAAGGACTCCCATGGGCTAGTCGGTTCTGGGTGAGAGGGTGATGCAGTTAAGCTGCATGGGGTCATGGGTTCGTCAGTATGTTGCTACTCGGGCTCGAGCACCCGCGCGCGCGCCGCGGCCTCCTCGCGGGACTCGCGCGCGCGCGACCGCGGCAGCAACGCCTCCATCATTCGCGGCGCCGAGAGGCGCGCGCTGCATCCCCAGCGCAACAAGCACATCACGCACAACGCAACCGGGGATGCCGGCAGCACCGTGGACGACGCCAACCACGCGGCCGACGTGGCAGACGCGATCGGCGAGGGCACAAGGCAGGACGCACTGAGCTTCATGCCTGAGCCGCCTGACGAGGTCGGCGCCCAGCTCATCATCGACGCGGCCGGGGGCTTGAAGGCGCAGAGGAGCGCGAAGGAGAGGGTTGCGCCTTAGCCGAAGTGGACGACGCCACCGCCGCGGGCGCCGCAGCGGCCCATCGACCCGCCGCCGCCCGCGAAGCTCTCGGCGGCGCCCCACGCGGCACCCGAGGCTGGCGCGGGCGGAGCCAATCTCGCCGCCGCCGCCGCCGAAAAGGCGGCCCATCAGGCGGGGGCCTCTAGAGGGATAAGCCCAGCGTCAGCTGCTACAACTGGAGGGGGGAGCCCAGCGACAGCGGCTACTACGCAAGGGAAAACCCCACGACAGCGGCTACTAGGAGCGGGAGAAGCCCAAAGAGGCGGGAGAGCGACGCCGCGACGTCGCTGCGAGCCTCCACGGGAAGCTCAACCTCGCGCCGCCCATGTCGCCGATGCTCGAGTCGATGTCCGCATGAAAGATGCTGGAGATTCTGGGCTGGATGGCGGCGAAGAGGGCGGAGGGCGACGGGGGAGGAGGGGCCAACATCACATCACCGCGCTATCCGCCCCAAACCCCGCCCCCCCCCCCCCCCCACCCCCACCCCACCCCACCCACCAACACCCATGACGGAGATGAGCACGACGAAAGCGCGTGATGCGATGACGGTGAGCAACACACAGGCAAGACGCACGGTGGCAAACACGCGCGCTGCGAGGGCAAGCGCGGCAGGGGCGAGCACGACGGCGGCGACCGCGAGCGCAGCGATGGCGAGCGCCGCAAGGGCGAGCACGACGGCGGCTACGACGAGCGCTACGAGGGCGAGCGCGGCGGCTACACAGGGGCCACTACGACCGAGACGAGGGCGAGCGCCGCGGCTACAAGGGCCACATCGAGCTCGACGAGTGCGAGCACGGCGGCTACAGGGGCCACTGCGAGCGCCACAAGGACGAGCGCCGCGGCGGCTACAGGGCCACAACGAGCGCTACGAGGGCGAGCACGACGGCGGTTGCAAGCGCTGCGGCGGCGAGCGCAGCAGGGGCGAGCGCGGCGGCTGCAGGCGCCGCGTCGAGCGCGACGAGGGCGAGCGCCGCGGCGGCTGCAAAGGCTACGCACACGGGGGCGGAGACGGCGGCAACGAGCAGCGCGGCGGCTACAGGGCTACGCCGAGCGCGAAGGGGGCGAGCGCGGGGGCCACGCGAGCCGCGTCGAGCGCTGCGAGGGCGCGCCCGAGCGCGAGGGCGAGCGCCGCGGCGGCTACACGGGAAACACCGAGCGCCGCGAGTGCAGGCACGCGCGCTACACAGACGAAGCCGACGAAGAGCGCGATGGCGACTACGAGCACCAGTCCACGGAGGTGAAGGTGACAGATTTCGGCCGCCCGCGGGGCGAACATCACGCGCGCTTGGCCGAGGCACTGGCTCAGACCGGGGTCGACGGCGCGCTCGACAGCTCGCGACGGCCGAGCACGACATCAAGTAACCGAAGTGGCCGAAGCGCGCGCATCTCCGCCACTGGAACGCGACGCACCAGAAAAATCACGCGACAGGCGCGGGAAGCAGCTCGGGCAAGGGCCGCCTCGAGACGCCCCCGCTTCCTCTTGCGCGCCGACGCGGCGCCATCGTCGCCTAGCCCCACCCCGCGCAGCACGCCTCGCCTCACCTAGCCTACCTCGCCTCGCCAAGCCGACCTCGCATCGCCCAGCTAACATAGCATCACCTACCATGCCCTCGCCTAGCCGACCGCGCCACACCTCTGCCCAGTTCGCCCCTCGCCGCCCCCCCTTCGCCCATCGGGGGCCCCATCGGCGCGCCGAGGCCCCGGCGCTGCGCAACGCCGGCGCGCGCGAGCTGTCGGCGAGTCAGCTTAGTCGCCGGCTGCCGCGACGGCCGCGCGGGCAAGCATCGCGACGGCGCGCGGACCGCGGGGTCCACGACAGCGGCGACTGCGTGCCACGTCGCACCTGTCCTACATCGGAACACGAGATACGACAGGCGCGCCGCATCTCGACTTCTGGGGTGCGACAAATGCGTCGTATGTCGGATTCCCAGATTGGAAAGATTGTCTGTGATAAACACATAGAGGGTGTTTGTCGCATCTCGAAATGCGAGAAACGGCAGATGCGTCGCATCCTGGATTCCCATATACGATAGCTTTGTCGTATATGTCGTCTATCGGATTCTGATGCACGGCGATAGGGCCCATCGTGCGGCGCCCGGCAATCTGCTGCTCTCAGGGCGCCAACGTTTTCTGTTGCACCATCCGCTCTTCGCAGCAGCACCACCAGCCGACGCGCGGCTGCGATTCGCTGCGACGCGACGCCTCTGGCGACACAGGGCCGCAACACTTGGATGCTGAATACCCAACCAGGCACCCAGCCGAAGCAACCCAACCGACCCAGATCACCCGCCGACCCAGGGACAACTGCTGCACATGCTCGCCGCAAGGTGCTATTGCTAATCAGCAGTAGCTCTGCAGGGGCGCAAAGCCTTGCAGAGCAGATTGTCGCGGACGCATCTCAATCTCTATCCCGGAGACCCGTTGGCGGCGGCGGCGCCCGCCGCTGCCTCGAACCCATGCGCAAGGGGCACAACAACCAGTATCAACGCCGCTGCGCTACTCGCCTTCAGTCGTCGTTGTTCGCCACCGCGCCAATTCTCATCGCCCCCCCCCCCCCGCGCCCCCCCTCCCCCCAGCAGCCTCATCCGCATCGCCCCCCCCGCAACTCGCGTGCCCCGTCCTCATCCTCGGCGCCACCTCTTGAATGTGGGAGCATTGCTTGCATGGCCTGCGGGAGCGGTCCAGAAGGTTCCAAGGATACACAACCGTGACAGAAGGTTCTTCAATTTGCTATGATGAAGATTTCTCACATCCCTCTCAAGATTCCTAACATGGCATGATGCTGGGATCATTCGGCGGAGTAGTTTCCGATCCCGGAGAGGTTAATAACTCTGTTGCCCCAAAACGGGATCGGAAACGACTCCGCGCCAAACCATACATTACCGAGCGGTATGCGATTCCGCGCGGAGTAGTTTTAGTAGAACTACCCCGAACTACTCCACACGAGCGCGTCATTCCGAAAGGCAACTTGAAGGAAACTTTCGTCCCGGCGATGGGGAAAATCTCAGTCCGCCCCGTCTTTCATGGCTTCATCCGGTCAGGGCCCGACGCCGCGTCGATGGTGATGGCGATCAAGATGATGGTCATGATGGCGCTTGCGATGATGCCGATCATGGCGATGCTGGTGCTGGCAACGATCATGCGACCGCCGCTGGCGGATCTCCTTGCGGGGCCGCGAAGCTTGCGTGGGGCGCGCCGAAATCGCGAGCATGCGGCATGCGACTGCGGTCACTGGGGCCTTCGGTAGAAGTTCCCCTGGGGGCCCGTGACGAATGGATATGCGCCGACGTGTCGAGCTGGCTGGACGGCGTCGCGCTGTCCACGCCGCCAGGCATGGAGTCCGATCGCTTCAAATATTGCTGGGGCGGTGCAACGCACATGCGGGGGGAGAAGACCGAGGCGAACGCGCCTGCGCTGGCGGGGGCCGATGAGCACGACAAACAGGTCCCGCTGTCGAGGTCGATTCCTCGATGAAGCGGCGTGTCGCAGGACGGCTTCGCCGCGGTGCCCTGGCATCTAGACAGCGTTAAAAAACAACGAGGAGGACTGGCCCCAGGCGGTGAGGGATCAGAAAGTGACCGCTGCGCTGCGCGCACTGAACCCGAAGAAGAAGAGAGGGCCATGGACCATGCTCTGCGTTGACGAAGGGTTTCGCAGGGCCGATGTCAGCACGGAGGCGCACAGGAAGAGGGGCATTGCCCTGTGGAGCGTGCCTCCCGAAAGCCCCGTTCTAATCCCAATGGAGATGTTCTGGGGCTGGCTTCGCAAGAAGCTGCGGTCGCTGGGCCTGCAGGACTCGCGCAAGAAGCGGGCGCGATTGGGCAAGAAAGCCTACAACGTCAGGGTCAAAGGGGGGCTTGAAGTCGGCCAAGGCCCAAACGGCGGCAAAGACCGCGGCGGGTAGGTTCCGCAAAGCTTGCAAACAGTTCGTGGACCGCAAAGGGGCCGCGGCCGACAATTGATGTTATCTTGCTCTTTGCTTGGAATTGCGCTGGCACTGGGAGTGCGTCGCGGGGAAACAAGCCAAAATTGCACACAGCCGTGACAAAAGTTTTTTCAATTTGCTATGATGAAGATTTCTCACATCCCTCTCAATATTCCTAACATGACATGATGCTGGGATCATTCGGCGGAGTGGTTTCCGATCCCGGAGAGGTTAATAACTCTGTTGCCCCAAAACGGGATCGGAAACGACCCCGCGCCAAACCATAAATTACCGAGCGGTATGCGATTGCGAGCGGAGTAGTTTTAGTAGAACTACCCCGAACTACTCCGCACGAGCGCGCCATTCCAAAAGGTAAATTGAAAGAAACTTTCGTCGCGGCGATGGGGAAAATCTCAGTCCGCCCCGTCTTTCATGGCTTCATCCGGTCAGGGCCCGATGCCGCGTCGATGGTGGTAGCGATGAAGATGATGGTCATGATGGTGCTTGCGATGGTGCCGATCATGGCGATGCTGGTGCTGGCAATGATCATGCAACCGCCGCTGGCGGATGTCCTTGTGGGGCCACGAAACTTGCGTGGGGGGGGCCGAAATCGCGAGCATGCGGCATGCGACTGCGGTCACTGTCCCCCTGGGGCCCCGTGACGACTGGATACGCGCCGACATGTCGAGCTGGCTGGACGGCGTCGCGCTGTCCATGCCGCCAGACAAGGAGTCCAATCGCTTCAAATATTGCTGGGGCGGCGCAACGCACATGCGGAGGAGGAAGACCGAGGCGAACGCGCCTGCGCTGGCGGGGGCCGATGAGCACGACAAACAGGTCCCGCTGTCGAGGTCGATTCCTCGATGAAGCGGCGCGTCGCAGGACGGCTTCGCCGCGGTGCCCTGGCATCTAGACAGCAAGAAAAAACAACGAGGAGGACTGGCCCCAGGCTGTGAGGGATCAGAAAGTGACCGCTGCGCTGCGCGCACTGAACCCGAAGAAGAAGAGAGGGCCATGGACCATGCTCTGCGTTAACGGAGGGTTTCGCAGGGCCGATGTCAGCATGGAGGCGCACAGGAAGAGGGGCATTGCCCTGTGGAGCGTGCCTCCCGAAAGCCCCGATCTAAACCCAGTAGAGATGTTCTGGGGCTGGCTTCGCAAGAAGCTGCGGTCGCTGGGCCTGCAGGACTCGCGTAAGAAGCGGGCGCTCTTGGGCAAGACGGCCTACACCGCCAGGGTCAAAGGGGTCTTGAAGTCGGCCAAGGCCCAAACGGCGGCGAAGACCGTGGCGGGTAGGTTTCGCAAAGCTTGCAAACAGGTCGCGGACCGCAAAGGGGCCGCGGCCGACAATTAATGTTATCTTGCTCTTTGCTTGGAATTGCGCTGGCACTGGGAATGCGTCGCGGGGAAACAAGCCAAAACTGCACGCAGCCGCGACAAAAGTTTCTTCAATTTGCTATGATGAAGATTTCTCACATCCCTCTCAAGACTCCTAACATGACATGATGCTGGGATCATTCGGCGGAGTAATTTCCGATCCCGGAGATGCGAATAACTCTGGTGCCCCAAAACGGGATCGGAAACGACTCCGCGCCAAACCATAAATTACCGAGAGGGATGCGATTGCGCGCGGAGTAGTTTTAGTAGAACCACCCCGAACTACTCCGCACGAGCGAGTCATTCCAAAAGGAAAATTGAAAGAAACTTCTGTCACGGCGATGCAATGCAAGACGCACTCGAAGGTGCATGGTCAGCGTCCGTTGTCGAAGCAGCAGCGAGGACTGCCACCAGGAACTCCGAAACGTGCCAAAATGCAGAGGGCCCAGAAGGAAGTCCCGCGATAACCTTCCATCCGTTCAGGTCTGGCCGCATCGGCGCGGGCAGACCGCCCTGCCACGGTCTGCCCCAGGGGAAACCAGGGGGACAACCGTTGCAACTCCAACTGCGATTGGAAGGACCAAACAAGCCTCCACCCAAGTGGAAGATTGAATTATCCCCCCTCATGCATGGCCTCCATCTGCCCCCCCACCGCCAGTGATCCGCCCACGCCCTCCCCGTCGTCCTCTCGTCCTTTCTCGTGATCCGCATCGACCCACGCGCTCAATGTTCATCGCGATCGTCTCGCCCTCGTGATTCGCGCGCCCGACGCCGCATGCCTGCCCCCACCTCGTCGCCCGCCAAGTCCACCCCCGCGCCCCACAATCCCGCTCCCCGACTGGAGCTCGGCCATCGCCGCGTCGATTGGCGCGCTAGACGGCACCACGCACCCAGGCGCGAAGCGCGGGGCCGGCGCCGACACGGCGCGGAGCGCTAAGGGGGGGGCCAAGGAAGGATATGAAGGATACGCCTTGGGCTGCGATTGGCAAGGCTGGCGGACACGGCGAGCAGGAGGCGACTAGCGGTTACGCGAGATAGGGACGAGGAGAAGTCGGGACGGAGGGGCGCGATCGACGGGCACCATAGATAGGTCTCGATCGGCCACGCACATGAACTTATATGCGACCGCCGTCGCACTGCCGTTGCACCTGCGCCGTCGAATTCCGACCATCGCTGCATGAACGACGCCTCGCGCGGCACGCGTCGCAGCCGCCGCGGCGCGGGATGCGGGTCGCGCCACGAGACGCGGGAGGCGTCAACATGCCTAAGTTGAAAGCCACAATGCGAGCCCAGTGGCGCAACGAAGACACCGCCGACTTCAACCAGAAGCTCAACGCATCCATCAAGCACAAGTCAGGTTGCCCCAACAAGGCCCCCCCGAAAGGGGAAAGAAAAAAAACGAGCGCCAGATGGAGGCATTTGATACGCATCGCACGGTCGCGCATGCGTCTGCGAGCGTTGCGCAGCTTGCGCGCACGATATGTTCAGCTGACGCGCGGCGCCCTGCCGCGCAGTGCACGCGCCCGCGAGGCGCACATGGTGCAAGCTTGTCTTTGAGAGGGGGTGGGGGGCGCACTGATTTGCTCGACTACGCGGGCTGACGTCGCGCGCGGTCGGAGTTACTTACGCCTGTGCGCCGCCGCGGCACCGCTGTGGAACTAGCTACCCCAGATGGGGGGGGGACCTCCAAGGCTCTGGGGGAGGCGATGACGAAGGCCGAGAACGCAAGCATGCTTCTGATCAAGCGTTGGCAACATCCGAGGTAAACAAGAAGTCACTTGCCCGCGCGACCCAGCGCATCCACGACATTGGCGGCCTGAATTGGGCGCACGGGCGGAGGGCCGCTGACGTCGAGCGCTGAACGGAACCCAGCGGACAGCCCTCCGAGTTCCAAGCGCGTTTCACGCGCGCGTTATATCTGCTCACACGCGCGTGCCCTCGCGCACATAATCGCGCCCGTCGGTCCCGGAAACACGCAACGCACGTGGATCTCACGAACCCCCCCACACACACACACACACACACACACACACACACATACACACACACACACTCACACACACCCTCTCCCACCCGAGGACACCGAGGTCGACAGGTGGTGGGCGAGGGGGGTCGTTTCTGGATGTTGGGGTACTTCGTGGCGGGATTCAACACGCGCCGGGGGTAGTCGCATCGCGGCGCTCCTCTGCTTCAGCGCGCAGCGGGCGCACCCCCGCGATTCTTAGACGCCACTCACCCAGATATCGACAGATGGACGCGCAATCCCGCGCCGACATCAAGCATTACCGTCAGGGGAAGCTGCAGCGCGCAAAATTCCGAGGGCGACGGTCTCGCAAGAATACGCTCGCACAGCGAAGAAAGTGGTCTCGCCCAGCGGGGCACGGGGAACTGACGCACCACGCATGTTTGGCCGGGCGGGGGCGCGAGAGGGTCGCGCGTCGCAGCGCGCGGTCCCGCCCGCATTTCACAGGTAGATGGCCTGCAGGAAGTTCAAGGCTGCGAAGTAAAAGATGGCAAGGCGAAGGAGACGTGGATGGCGTCCACGTTCACTGGCACAGGCGCCCTCTCGCAGCTCACCGTTGCGTCTGCGACGCACGCTGCGATCAGGAGTGAACGTGCCCATAGGCAGCTGTAATAGGCAACACCTTGCACGATACGCAGTAGGCCATACGGGAGATGTGATACATGTAATACGACGCGAAAATTGGTTGTCTGCTGCTGCAGGAGAGCAGAAATATTCAGCGGCCACACCTATCGCATCTGCCGCTTGCACCACTTGCCGAAAGACGAACAGAGGCCACTGGGGGATCTGAACGGCTTTCGCGGGGCGCGGGGAGCGCGGACGGACTGGCTGCGACAAGCCCCGTGACCCCAGCCAACGACGTGACCGACTAAGCCTACCGCGCGAACAATGATTGCCGCAGTGGACGTCGTACCTGTAACAATCTAGGCTCTAGGCGCAAGACATTTCTCGCACATTCCGCCCCCTCGGCGCCTACCCAACCATGGCGAGCATCGCGAAAATAATCGCAGAGCTAGGCCATAGACTGGGTCCACACCCAAATAGGGCGCGGGCTTGATCAAGACGACTGTGCCCGACACCAAGACGACTCATTGACCGCAAAAACCCAGCCTGACGGGGGTCGAAATCGAGCCAGCGACGCAGCTCGCAGATGCAATCAAGGCTCACGCACTAGCGCAACGAACGACAACCCAGGTCACAGTATTATGTGCTGCAGTAAGCAGCAATGCAGGCATGATTCATAGCGTAGACAAGCGCGGGCAAGAAGCAACTGTTCTCCCAAAACTCACGACGAAAAGCGAGATCGACTTGCTCAAGGGCGGAGACTAGTCTCGCAACAACCATGTCCGATGCTTAGAAGCACCGTTCGTTTTGGCTGCAAAACGACCCCTCGGACATGAACGCCACGCCGAAGGCGCGCGAGCAGGAGGAGCCGTCTGGCGACCAGTGGGAGGTCAAAGAATCTGAAGCGATGAGAAGCAGCCACACGGAGCTGCGCTCAAAGACAGCCCAGCCGCCCATCGCAGCGGTAGCGCCGTCAGAAGCGGTCGCGCCGTCAGCAGAGCTGGGGGAGCACCAG